ATTTATCCGTCCATAATGTTGAACTTTTAAAATCAATCATTTCTAAACTAAAATTGTCAATTCTTAGATATTCAAAATACTGCAAATTTATAATATTTTCTTCTATTTCATCGGGCTTTATTATAAATGTAAACATTTCTCCATGTTTCTTAAGACTTTGAAACCGACTTTCATATTTACTTTTAATGACCGAAATCCAACTTTCGAACATATTTAGATTGTGTTCATTGATATTTTCTTTTTCATGTTCCCTTTTTAACAAGGGAAAGAAATGAAATTTTTTAGTTTTTCTGCCAGTTTCAAATAAAATCAATTTTGAAGTAAAACTCTTCCATTCCTCATACATTTTCAAAATTGTGTGGTTATTTCCTTGGAGTCGTACGTTGAAATCATTATAATGGTTCATTATGTCTGTTCAGAACAAACGTCTTAAAAACCATTGCTTATCATTGAGTCCGAGATCATTTTTAAAATGAAACAACGTTTTCAATGACACTAAACAGAGTGAGTTTTTATTAAAAGAAATATTTATATATTCCTTACATCATTCACAACAAACACAACATATGACAGTACTAGTACTATTTTGATACAATTTAACAATTTTCACCGATTTTGTGAAGAAATATTTGTATATCATCAAAACACTACAAATCTATTAAGAATTTTGCCCCGACTTAACCATCATATTTCAGAATGTAATAACAAATCTCCATATTACGATTCAATTTCCTCAAAAAATGCTTTAAAGCGCCTGTGTATTAATGCTGATCGCGCTATTATCATGTTTACGATCTTAACAATTTTTCCATTGCATCCTTAAGTTGTTGCGTTGATGCCTTTGCAGATAAATTTTCTTCATTTATGATACAATGAAATGATAAAAGTGAACGGCCAAGTTCATTTTCCATTAGTTTTTCCTCTCATACTTGGAGCACCGTCAGTTGTTATGGAAAACATTTTACTTTTTAAATCTGATACTTGCCCATTATTGAAATTTGGAAATTCTTGTACTTGACGAAAAATATTAGTGCCTTTGGTGGTGTCATTCATTGAAGCAAGAACGCATAGTTCTTCATTGACATTAGAGCTATTTATTGATGCAAATCTAATAATTATTGTAGGCCTACCAATACAATTTATGTCGGTACTTTCGTCAACTGCAATGCTAATTATGTCACAAGATAACAAATCATTTTTGACCTGTTCATCAATATTCTTGCCATATCTTCAACGCGACGCTGGACTGTTCTAGCTGACAATGGCATTTCTTTGATTCTCTCAATTATTTGTTTTTTATTTGCGTCATTAAATAAGTGTTCGGAACAACTTATAAATGCGTTTTTCAAAAACTCGCCGTTTGTAAATTGTTTTCCATTGGTACTAATGCTAAGAGTTGCAACACAGCTGGCAGACGTAGCATGATAGTTGCTAGTAACAAAACCCTTTACGAATTTATTTTGTTTTCCAAAATTTAATACACGTTTAGCAATGTATTCAGATTTATCTTCATTTACCAATTCATTCACATCTTTATTTTTTGAATAAAAGTGTCGCTCAATATTATAAGTCCTGGCGGTAATAATATCTGTACATAAAGTACATATCAATTTGTCACCATTTCCGATACACCCATACTTTTCTGTCCACACGTGTTGAAATAATCTCTTTTTTTGCTTTTTATTTGTTCATGGTAATTTTTTTAAATAATAATATTTATTTCACTAAGTCACTAGGTCAATATTATTGTGCTACTGTACTACACGTGCTATAACTATAACTGACATACAACTGAGCTAACAACGCGTGCGTGCAGGAATGGTCCAATTTGTTCGGACAATGTCGCTGCATTCCATAATATCGGCCGATTCCATATCCAGTCAGAGGGGTGGGGCTTTAACCAATCTTATACTGGATTCAAATTTGGTACGTTCATAACTTTGCAACAAACATTTTTTGGGAAAAAAATATTTGTATATCTTATACTTTATTTTCGGAACTAAAGTGGGTCACCTGAAATTACCAAATGGGTCACTCGGTGACACACGGGTCATAGGTTGCCAACCCCTGTACTAACCTATCTCGCCTATTTCTTATTGACTTCCATAGAGTCCCCTATTCTCCTACTCTTTCTAATACCTCTTCATTTCTAACCTTCTCTATCCACAGTATCCTCATCATTCGCCTGTAACAACAACATTTCGAACGCTTCTAAGCTTTTCTTTTCCGCCGCGCCCACCGTCCATGTTTCGCACACCAGGGGGTGTGCTACCTCTACAGAAAACTCACGATGATAGGAACACTAGACTAGATGGGATTGCCAGAAATTATGGTTCAAAAGTTGTGACCATATTTCTGTTAAGTTATTTTCCATAGACAGTGCATTGCCTAACCCAACCAACTTCACTAAGAAACCTAACGTCACTTAACCTAACTTAATCAATTCATTCCATCTTCCATATATTGTCTAGGAAAATGGGCGTAACTCACAACTTTTGAACCAAGGATTTCCAGAAAATCGGACCCCTCTCCTATATATTTCTCTCAACAAGGGCTTTCTAAGGATATCAAACCCTTGGTGAGCGTTTCCCT